CATTGAGTTGGCAGCTATGTTCTGCTCTGTTCTGTATAACAGGACGAAACCTTGCCTGGTCCTGTGCCATCTTCCTGATCATTGGTATGTTGAGTCCATCGGAGTGGCTATTGGGTCTATCCAGCTTATTGAGGGTTTCCCTAGTTTTCCCTGACTCTCTATGTTACCAGACATGTTAACTCAGTTTGTGGTCATGCATTGAGAATTGCTTTTGTGTGGCCTTTCTTGCCATGGTCTTGTAACTCCCACCCAAGTGATTGGGTGGGACTGTACAAATAAGATAATTGTAGCCTACCAAGAGGATTGGTCAGTTTCACCATCCTGCTAGGTTTAAAAGAGAGCCAATTCCAGAGCAGAGAGAGAATCCCACCAACAGCAACAAAGAACAGCCAGGAGCAGAGAGCATGCCCTTTGGACCCGGGATGCCTGCACTGAGAAGCTCCTGGAACGAGAAGACAGAGAGACAGAAAACTCAAGAAGCAGGGGCAGAGAAATGACTGCAGAAGATGGCAAGGTGGGATTCCCAGCCGATGCAGTGAGAAAGCTGAATGCCTTTGGGCAGGAGGCTTGCTGGAGGAGTAGAGTGCCTCTGGGCACCTATCAGCAGAGCTAAAAGAGCTTTGTAACACTTGCCCAAGCGGGGCAGAGGCCTGAGAGAAGCATGCGTGTGAGCACAGCTGAAGAGGCTGTCTTGATGGAAGCACTGTATCCTGAGTGTTCCTAAACATGAATTGTAACTGTTACTTCCCTAATGAACCCCATAATCATGAGTATTACATGTGAGTTCTGTGTGGCCATTGCAATGAATTACTGAACCCAGCAGAGAAGAAGAGTGCCATGGCAGGGACATTTGGCGTCAGAACTGGTAAAGATGGTGGAGAGAGGAGGCATGTCTGACCCCCACCTCATAGGAATCAGTCTTGGGCTGTTGATCTTGATTCTCCTTCCCCCTTATGAAGTCAGAGGAGGCCAGACATGCCCTCCCATACCATTTTTACAGGTCATTTATTACAGCAGGAGAAGAATTTCCATAAGCCCATAAGATCTCCCATCTTGGGTGGGCCTGTGCTTCATCTCTGTACCACAAGATCCTAGGGTCCAAGAAAACCAAAACTCGAGTTTGCAAGAGGGTGGGTCTGACACATGGCTCACCAAATTATCACAAAGGGCCTTCAGTTCTCTCTGCTCTCTGCACTCACTCCTTGGTGACCCCACTCTGGCTCTTGGATTTTAACAACGTTTGTGTGGTGATGACTTCAGATTCAGGGCTGAAAAGCCCCTCTCCCTCTCAGAGGCTCAGTGTCCACACCTATAGTGTGGGAGGTAGGGCTAGAGGATCTTTCAGCCTCACCCACCCCAACAGCTCAGGTTCCCAAGTTCCTTTTCAGTGGTGGCCACAGATCTCTCTCACTCACCTACAATAGGCTCTGGGTGTAGAAGGACCCTGCTGGAGCCATTAGACAGGAAGGAGGCAGGGAGGCCAGGGAGGAGGCTGTGGCAATGATCTGGGGAAGAGGCTGAACTGAGCCTGGGGCCCAAGGGAAGAAGAGGAGGGAAGTGAATTGAGAGTGGAGCTTGAAAAACTCAGTGACTCATGGGGTAGAGCTGGTGTGATGTCTGGGGGAAAGGGGGTTTTAAGGTGGAATCCCCAAGAGAGGACTCAAAGCAGATCTGGGGCTCAGGGAAAGGGCTGTATGTAAGATGGTGAAGGAATAAGCACAGGGACGGGATGGAAGATGGAGCCATGGGATAGATGATGTCACCCAGAAAAGCAGAGAGAAACAGAGCCCAGGGCTGAGCTATGGGGAGTGTGCACATTTGAGGCCCCTGGAAAAGATGATCAGACCAGAGATGAAGCAGGGCACGTGTCCTCTCAGAAATTCAGGTAAGTTGAGCCGCCAAATGTAAAACTGGGTCTATCAGTGGGAGACTTGTGAGAGGGAATGTGTGGGGTCAGACTTCACCCAGGGGCTGAGGGCTGACAGAGGGGCTCCTCTCCAAGCTTAGCACTCCCCTCTTTTGAGCTCTGAGACACAGCTGAGTCCTGAGCTGACACCTGGCTCCATGGCAGCCCCAGAGAGGAGAGGGTCTTTCCTACCTGTGGAGTTTCTCTTGAAAATGGTGGTGGCCACAGAATGTGGGGTATCTGGAAAGGAAGATGTAGTGAGGGGCAGGGTGGACTTTTGCCTTTTGTCCAAAGAGTAACTAAATGCGAAGGGGCAGGGTTTGGGGAATGTCCCCCAAGCACCTCTGGGAAAACTATCACATGGCATGACCCCCTCTTGCCTCCATTGCTCTCAGGGCCCCAGGCATCCCACCCACACTCACAGAAGACATAGAGCTGGATGGTCCTCTCCATGGTCACCTGAGATCCTTGGCAGTTCACCAGATAGGTGAGGTAAGTGCCGTGGTCCTGGGGCCTGGGAGTGAGGGTAAGCACCTAGGACTGGAGGGTCCAGAAAGTTAAGGGCACCCGCCGTACAGGAGAAGGTGAATGGTCTCCCCCCTTACAGGATCCTGGCAGGCTGCAGGTCAGGTTCATGGGGCAGCCAGACTCCAGAGGTTCCAGAATATGAATGTCGGGTTTCTCTGTCAGGTCTAATGAGGAGAGAGAGAGGTGTCTGAGCCCCAGGAGGCTGGGTGTGAGGGCACAGAGTGTGACCCTGAGAGCAGGTCCCAGGTCCTGTACCTCCTCCAATCACCCTGGCTTCATGACCCAGAGCAGGGATTGTCTTGTCGCTACAAAATACTGGAGTCCTCTCAGCCCAGCATCCTCTCCTGGAGCCCCTGCTGTGCCTGTCACCTGCAAATTCAGATTCTTATCTCAGTACTTGTATTTCACACCCCATCCTCTCTCCACTCAGAAAAAGTAGGTCTTTGTGTCACTCTTCCTGGCGTCTCTGATGCTCAAGGTGCAGTTGTTGGTCTTGGGGTCTCCAAGGAGTTGGAATCTGTCCTGGGTTTCTGTCTTCATTGCTTGGTTTTGGTTATTTGTGGCCACAGGACAACTTTGGTGTATCTTGTCCCCAATCCAGAACTAGACGATGTAGAGTGGGTCAGTGAGAATCCATAAACTCAAGAGGTGGGAGAATTTCCATAGCTCAAGGACGAACAGAGCTTCCTGCCCCATCACCAACTCCGGCACCTGTAGCTGGTAACATAGGTCCTCCTGCAGGGACCTTGGAGGGACATAAAGGCTCAGCTGCAGCTCCTTTCCCCTTCCCCTCATGCCCTTCCCTCATCCCTCAGCCCACTCACTCCCCCACCCCTCCACAGCAGAGGCAGCAGCAGCAAAGATTGCTTTGGCTAATTTAGGTCCTTTGCATTTCCATATACACTTGAAAATCCGCTTCCACAAAAAAAAACTTTTTGGAATTTCATTTGGGTTTATGTAGAACCCATAGGTCAATTTGGGGAAGAATTGTTTTTTAAAATAAAATATTGAGTATTCTAATTCAGGAACATCTAAGCTGATAGATCCTTCAGTCCCACCCACCTTGCTGCAGGTGAAGACACTGAGGTGCTGAGAGGGTGAGGAGCTCTCGAGACTTGAATCTGGGAGTCACCACCAAACACTGTTGGAATCCAAGAGCCAGAGTGAGATCACCAAGCAGGTGAGTGCAGAGAGCAAAGAGAAACCAGGGTTCTTTCTAGTCATGCAGTGGGCTACCTATCAGATCCACCCTCCCGTAAACTCAAGTTTTGGGTTTTATGGACCCTAGGGTCTTGTGGAAGGAGCCCTGGTGGCACAGTGGTTCAGCACTTAGCTGCTAATCAAAAGGTTGGTGGTTTGAACCCACCAGCTGCTCCACCACAGAAAGATGTGGCAGTCTGCGTCCCTAAAGATTACGGCCTCGGAAACCTCATGGGGCAGTTCTATTCTTCCCTATAGGGTCACCATGACTCTGAATTGACTCAACAGTGAACGGGTTTGGTTATGTAGGTCTTCAAACCATCTGTACAGCTTGAGATTTGCTGGACTAACCACCCCCCCAAAAAAAAGCAAACCCTTTGCCATGGAGTTGATTCTGACTTATGGCGACCCTACAGGACAGAGTAAAACTGCCACATAGAGTTTCCAAGGAGTGGCTGGTGAATTAGAACTGCCAACCTTTTGGCCAGGCCACCCAAAAGTTGTCAATTTGAGCTGCACATCCCTGCAAAGCATGATTTGTGGTCAGAACTGCTTTCATTCTTTAGTTCCTGCTCTGCAAATCTGCATCTATGTTTACCCTTTTGGGACATCACTTAATGGGGTGAGATTCTCCGATAAGATGTCCTGTCTTGGGTGGGTCTATGCTTCATCTTTGCACCACAAGACCATGGTTTTGGTCCATGAAAACCAAAATTCAAGTTTGCAGTGGTCAGTAATTCTCTTCAAGTCAAAGGTGCTTCAGTGCTCAGCTCCCTTCTCTGGGTTTCCACCTTACCCTAGATTTTGGCCTGGAAATTTCTTTCTTGATAGCACTTCAATGGTTTTTGTTGTTGTTGTTGTTCATTGTGGTGAAACTCTACATAACAAAACAAACATGCCCTCAACAATTTCTCCGTGTACAATTCAGTAATGGTTTTATGAAAATATAAAATCATTTTCTTCCAGAACGTTAGTGGTTTTCAGCAGAAGGGTAAGTCTGACATGCAGCCCACCACATGACCAGGAGGATCCCTGGTTTCTCTTTGCTCTCTGCACTCGCTCCTTTGGTGATCTTACTCTGGCTCTTGGATTTCAACATTATTTGTGTGGTGATGACTTCCACATTCAGGTCTGGAGAGCCCCTCACCAGCTTAGCACCTCAGCGCCCCCACCTGTAACATGGACGTTGGAACTGGCGGATCTGTTAGTCCCAACCCCAACCCTCATGGCTGAGGTTCCCAAGTTCCCCTTTAGTGATGGCCACAGCTATCTCTCACCCACATGCTTCCTGTTGGGGCTTCCTTGGCCCCTCCCCACATTGGGGCATTTCCTTCCCTGATAGAAGGACCAGGACCTGGCTGCCAGCCCTGCGGACCCAGACATGCTGCCCCTGCTGCTGCTGCTGCCCCTGCTGTGGGGGGGTGAGTGGGTTGAGGGGTGAGGGAAGGGCATGAGGGTGGGAATAGAGCTGCATCTGAGCCTTATGTCCCTCCAGGGTCCCTGCAGGAGTATCCAGGGTACAAACTACAGATACCAGAGTTGGTGACGGTGCAGGAAGGCCTGTGTGTCATTGTGTTCTGCGAATTCTTCTATCCCCGGCATGTATCATTTACCACTGACCAACTCTGTATCTACTGGTACTGGACTGGGGACAACACATACTCAAACCGTCTTGTGGCCACAAACTGCCAAAACCTAGTAGTGAAGACAGAGACCCAGGGCCGATTCCACCTCCTTGGGGACCCCAAGACCAACAACTGCTCCCTGAGCATCAGAGACGCCAGAAAGAGTGACACAGGGATCTACGAGTTCCGAGTGCGGGGACAATATGTACAATACTCCTACCGAACTCAGCTGAACTTGCAGGTGACAGGTATGGCAGGGGACGCAGGAGAGGACCCTAGGATGGGGGCACCCAGTGTTTGTGCAGGGACAGGACACACTGCTCCTGGTCATGGGGCCAAGGTGGTGAGAGGAGGTACAGGATCTGGGGTCAGCTGTGACCCTGAGGCACTGGCCACTCTCAGGGCCACACTCTCGGTCCCCATCACCTGGGGCCAAGACAGCTCCCTCTCTCCTCCTCAGACCTGACAGAGAAAGCCGACATCCACATTCTGGAACCTCTGCAGTCTGGCAGCCCCACGAACCTGACCTGCAGCCTGCCAGGATCCTGTGATGGGGGGAGACCGCTCACCTTTTCCTGGATGGGGGATGCCCTTAACATGCTGGACCCTAGTACACTCCAGTCCTCGGTGCTCACCCTCACCCCGAGGCCCCAGGACCACGGCACCTACCTCACCTGTCAAGTGAAACGCCGGTGACCTCAGGTGACTACGGAGAGGACCATTCGGCTCAATGTCTCCTGTGAGTGTGGGTGGGATGGCTGGGACCCTGACAGCAGTGAGAGTGTTGTGTGTGTGTGTGTGTGTGCATGCGCGCACTAGCAACACAGAGAGAAGGGGAGGCAGCAGGGAGAGAAGGAGGGGGAGATAACGAGAGAGAGAGAGAGAGAGAAGGAGGAAGAGAGGAAGAAAAGAAGGGAGGGAGGGAGGGAGAAGGACAGGAAAGAGGGAGAAAAGATGGAAGGAAGGAAAAGAAGGAGGGAGGGAGAAAGAGAGAGTGAGTGCACAACCTTAGAAAACTCGTGCTTGGATCCTAGCCTTGGGAGTCTTGGTGGGGAGTGGGCAAGAAGGACAGCAATGCCCACCTTCCCCGTTTCCTTGGCTCCTTGGGTTCAGAGACAAAACCGATCCCACTCCTCCCTTCTGAAGCAGGGCCTTATCTTTCTATCCCAGATGCTCCACAGAACCTCACCATCAAAATCTTCTTCCAAAACGGCACAGGTAGGATAGAATCTCTCCTCTCCGGAGCTGGGAACTCCAAGCAGAGGTGGGGAATCAGAGCTCAAATGGCATTAGATATGGGAAGAGTAAGGATGAAAATCATCACCCTTCTTCCACCACCCCCTGCACACACACTCTGTTCAAAGCTGTGAGTCAGACTTTGAACCCTGCCATGCCCCCATCCCTCCTGTGGCACAGATCTTACCACAGTCACCAAAGACGTCCTTGTTGCCAAATCCGATGGATGGTGCATGCCAATTCCATTTCACCATGACAGTGTTCTGTGGTTCTCCTCCTACCCCTCCAATCTGGACCCCTAACCTACTTCCTGCTGCATAAATTGAGTCTATTTCCCAAAGCCATTTGGGGCAATCTGTTGTCGTCTCTGCCAAACAGTACAGGCATGTCCCAGTGAGATATTGAGTCTCCTGTGGATGTGTGAAGCCCAACACTTTTGGTCAGCTTCCTTGGGGTGTAAAGGCTCCAGCCTTTGAACCCATACTGAACCCAGTGTGGGCCAACGGAGGAGAAGGAGAGACCAACAGATCCTGGGAAGGAGGAAGGAATGGATACTGTCAGTCTTCCTCCTTCCACAGCTCACATTCTCTCTCTCTCTCTCCATCTCCGTCTCTCCATCTCTGTCTCTCCCTCCCTCCATCTCTCTCTGCATCTCTCTTTCTCTCTCCATATCTCTCTCCATCTCTCATCTCTCTCTCCATCTCACTGCCAAAGTCCTCAAGGTCATGGGAAACACCATACCCCTTCCCATCCTGGAGGGCCAGTCCCTGCGTCTGGTCTGTGTTGCTGACAGCAACCCCCCTGCAGAGCTGAGCTGGTTCCAGGGATCCCAAGCCCTGAATGCCTCCCCCGTCTTCAACATGAGTGACTTGGAGCTGCCTCCAGTAAGAACTGGAAATGAAGGAGAGTTCACCTGCCAAGCTCAGAACTCCCTGGGCTCCCAGCAGGTCTCTCTGTGCCTCTCTTTGCTCTGTAAGTGTGGGGGCCCCTGGGGGTAGGACACCCAGGTATTGGGTGGGAGGGGCTGCTGCTGAGCCCTCCCTTCCCTCCCACAGCCCCCACAGACTCCCCGCAGCTGCCTCACCCCTCCTGCTCCTGGGAGGTCGAGGGTCTGCACTGCAGCTGCTCCGCCAGAGCCTGGCCAGCCCCCTCACTGCGCTGGCGAGTTGGGGACCAACTGGTGGAGGGGAACAGCAGCAATGCCTCTGTCACAGTCACATCCAGCTCCACTGGGTCTTGGGCCAACAGCTCCCTGAGCCTCCACAAGGGGCTCAGCCCTGGCCTCGGACTTTACTGTGAGGCCGGAAACGACCATGGGAACCAGAGTGTCACTGTCCTGCTGCTGGCAGGTCAGGGGGTCTCTTGTTGGGGGAGGCTTAAGGGGAGAGGGGATGGTGCTTGGACATAAGGTGATTGTGAGGACAGGGTGCTCCATCTCATGGCTAAGCAACCACCTAGAGCAAGTTCCCCAAGGAGGTGAGAGGATAAGAACCTGAGCCCTTAAGCGAGTCCCCTTGGCAATGTCCCTGAACACCTCCCTTCTTCCAAATGTCACTCTAGACAACTCCCCTTCTCAGCTGTACCCTATGACTCCGTGGGTTTTGCAAACTTCACTCTCAGATCACTTCGCTCTTCCTCTTCCCTTGGGCTCCAGCCACAGCTCAGGTCTGTCCTCTTGCCCAATCATTGCCTCAGTCTCCTCCCTGGCCTCCCTGCCTCCTTCCTGTCTGAATCTTTCTACACCCAGAGCTTATTCTGTCTATCCCCTGCTCACAGCCCCCTATAGCCTCCCAGTACTCCCAAGACAAAACCCAGGACTCTTGGCCTGGTCCTGGAGTCTCCGCGCAACCTGGCCCTGCCTTCTTTCCCACCATCATTGTGTCTGAGTGTTTCAGGTTCTCCCTGCCAGGTTGCAGAACTGGGCACACTTCCCGCATCTGCCAGGATTGCTCAGTGCTTTGCACAGCTCCACCTGAGATGCCCGCCTACTACTTCTTAATACAGAGCTCCCCCTCTTCCTTCCAATCTCTGCTCAGCCCTCCGTCTTTCCCACACTGACTCAACCACCAGATTCCTTGCAGCTCCGCCCCCCATCTCCTGTCTCTCTGTCTCTCAGCCTTGCTTCCGTAATTGTTCGCTCACCCCCGCGGCCTCACCGCCCTCACTCCTGGCCCCACCCGCTCAATGACATCCCCCCATCCCCCGCGCCCTGCCCCTTTCGTTCGCTCCAGGCTTCGCCCCCTCAGTGATTTCTTAGCTGCCCCGCCGCGCCGCGTCACTTAGCTCACAGACGCCCAGCCCCTCCCCGTCCCTCCAGGCTCCAGCCCTCACCACTTCCTTGCGGCCTCTGGCTGTCTTCCTCTCACTCGTTCTCCCAGCTCCTAAGACCCCGAGCAAACGGTACATCACTGCCTCTCTTGGAGGGCCAGTCCCTGCTCCTGGTCTGCGTGGCTGACAGCAACCCCCCTGCCACACTGAGCTGGGCCTGGGAGGGAAAAGACCTGAGCACCTCCTAACCCTCATGCCCGGCGTACTGGCGATGACCCCAAATATCAGGGGCTGGAGATGGAGGGGAGTTCACAAGTCGAGTTCAGCCCCCACTGGGCTGCCAGCACCTTACCTGGAAGCCTCGGTGCTGAGTGAGCTGCAGGAGAAGCCCTGGGGTCAGGCAGTCTTGTCAGGCGTTGGCTGTGGGAGGGCGGAGGCCTGGGGACAGAGCCTCAGGACTTTCTCTCCCTCCCGCAGAAAACTCCTTTTGCTGCACCTGTTTCACTAAGGTGAAGGAGGGCTCCTGGCCCCTTGTCCTCACCCTGATCAGGGGGGCTGTCATGGGGGCTGGCTTCCTCCTCACCTATGGCCTCACCTGGATCTACTACACCTGGTAAGCAAACTTGCCCTTCTGCAGGGAAGCCCAGTGATTGACCTCGAATTCCTGGCTGGGGCTGAGCTGTTCTGCCCAGCCTGGTGTTAGGATTAAAGTGATCAACTTTGATCTGAGACCTGAATCTGCTCTGCAGGTGTGCAGGCACTCAGAGGAGCAGGGCTGACTGAGCCCCCTTCCTTCTCAAGACGGGGCTTAAGTGTGGACATGGAGCCCAGAGTAACAGGCATGGGGACATCACTGTCACTGTCTCCCTGGAAACTCTTGGTCCACACTCCCACCCACTGCCCCTTTGCTTTGTGCCTATCCCACTTCCCATGTACTGTCCCCATCTGTCCCTGTTCCCCCCACCCCAACTCACTCTCTGTCTACTGAACCCACCTGTCCTTGTTCCCTCCTGACCCCAGCCCTCAGTTCTGTGGTTGAAGGAATAACTCTTGGGAACTTGTTCTCCCGCCACCCAAATATTGCCATTTTTGAGACAGGGCTTATGTTCATCCAAACCTTCCTGTCGAGTTTATGTGTAAAGACCCCTGTCTCATTATAATCGTTATACAATATTACAAAATATAATTATAGTGAAGAGTTTTATTAAACACAATATGAAAGACAATCAATAAAACTTATTTTTTCAGATCTCTGTGGCCCTTTTTAGAGTAAATTTTTTGTTTTGTTTTATGCATGTTTTAGCTAACTCTTTTGAATTCATTCACTTTTATTGAAATTGAACTTATATAGGTTAAAGTACACAAATCTTAAGTGAATAGCTAGATGAATTTTTAAATATAGCCACACTCATGAGGACACCACCCAAATCAAGTTACAGTATAATTCTTGTACCTTAAAGGCTCCTTTGAGCCCCTCCTAGTCAACACACCCCCATGTGTAACCATCACCTTCCCCCCATCAACATATATACACCAGAAATACCAATTTTTTCTTTTTTTAGTCAATTTTTATTGTTTTAACTTAAACACTTAGATCTATAAGCCATTTCCAATTTATTTTATGTATAGTGTGAGGTAGGGATCAATGTTCTTTTTTTTTTTTTTGGCATAGATATATCCAGTTGACCCAGAACCATTTGTTGAGAAGATCATCTTCCATTCTGAATTAATGTGGCAACTATGTCATAAATTAAGTGACAGTATATTTGTGAGTCTGCTTCTGGACTCTGTGTTCTGTTCCCTTAGCTTTGTCTATCCTTGCACCAATACCACCACTTTCATAGCTTTGTAAGTAATGATAGTAGGTAGTATCTGTCCTCCCACAGTATTTTTCTTCAAGATTCCTTTGGCTATTTTAGGTCCTTTGCATTTCCATATACATTTGAAAACCAGCTTTAAAAACAAGAAGAAATATTTGGGTATTTCAGTTTGGATTGTATATAATATAGGTCAATTGGTGGCATAGTGGTTAAGAGCTCAGCTGCTAATCAAAGGATCAGCAGTTTGAATTCACCAGCTGCTCCTCGGAAACTGTATGGGGCACTTCTACTCTGTCCTATAAGTCACCATGAGTTGGAATCGACTCAATGGCAACGGGTTGGTTTTATATGTCGATCTGGGGGATCAATTGATTTCTTTAAAATATTGAGTATTCTAATTCATGAACATGATATATCACTCCAATATTTAGGGCTTCTTTATTTTTTCTCAATATTTACTAATTTTTAGTGTAGAGATCTTGAACTTACTCTGTTTTACTTTTAAGAATATGAATTTGGGTGCTATTTTAAAAAATATTATACTTCTAATTTCATTGTCTGATTGTTGTCAGTAGAGATATATACTGTATTTGTAAGCAAATAACGCACACCTTCTACTTTTGTTTGCCAACCACACCCTCCCCCATGAGGTATTTTCATAAACATGCTATGCTAATTTTTTTACAACGGTGTGTAAAAAAAAAATTGGCATAGCCGTGCTTACAAAAATACCTTGTGGGGGGAGGGAAGAGGACATGGTTGACAAATGTGGAAGGTATGCATTATTTGTGTAAAAATATGGTAAATGCTTTCTGTGTAGTGACTTTGTATCCAGCTACTCTGCTAAATTCACATACTAATTCCAATAGTTTGCTTGTAGAATCTTTTGAATTTTCTCTGTACACTATCTTGTCACTGAAAACAATGATATTTTACTTCTTCCTTTCCAATCATTATGCCTTTTATCATTCTCTGGCTTCATTGCACCCTCTAGTAATTTCATTACGATGCTGAGTAGAAGTGGCAGTAGTGAACCTCTTTGTTGTTTTCTTGTCCTTTTGGGGGTTAAAATAAAAAGCGCAGTGTCATCGAGTCAATTCTAACGCATGTTGACACCAAGTGTTAGAGTAGAACTGCTACATGGGATTTTCTTGGCTCTAATCTTTATGGAAGCAGATCACCAGCACTTTCTTCTGTGGCACCACTGCATGGGTTTGACCCTCCAACCTTTAGGTTAGTCGTTCAGTGCAAACCATTTGCACCACCCACCCAGGGACCTTTTTAGGGGTAAAGTGTTCAGTATTTCACTACTAAGTATGATAACTGGAAGCCCACCCAGTGAATCCAGTGCCACCACACCAAAACAATTCTAGTTCACAGTTGTATTTAGTTTATATATAGGTTTTAGAAACATTTTTGTTTGTCAGAGTTTAAAATTTGGAGATATCTCACACTAATGAATGTCTAATTTCTCATGAAAAATTGGAATACCTGGTATCAGCTGGGGCTGTGCAGCTGCTGTCCCCTCACACACACACACACACACACACACACACACACACGCACACACACGCACACACACACACGCACACCCTTAACTTTGCTGTATTTCTCACCATGGTCTG